CCACTACGAAGCACCCCCAAAACCCCAAAACCCCATATAGATGCATATTTCTATAAAAAATAGTTGATGAAAGTATTAATAAAATTATTGAAAAATTATTGTAATGAGTTATGATGGCCTTTAAACCTAGCTTCACAAGCAAGGTTGCTCATCAATTATATTAGGTTCACTCAAAATTATCATCTAGAAAATTATATTTTATCCTCAAATTCTTGCTAAACTTATGATTGAGGTTACTCTTGTGTGGTTTACTCATTTTTCTTTATCCATTCTCTAACTTTTCTCATAATTTTTTTATCTGTGAAATCCTAATAGAATTAGTTTGAAATGAATTTGAATTTACCTTCTTGTCAATAGTGGTATTTGATTTAGACTTAAAAACAGAAATTATTCCGTTTTTCTTGTATAAAAGGTTCTAATTTCCATCAATCCAAACTTTTCTCATCTAATTTTGCATCATTTCATCATCATCTGATCCAAAAGTACTCTCATATCTCCTTATTAAGCGGCCAGTTCCTCTATATACAAGTATTCCCTAAAGCTGTTTGACTTCATTTAACCAAGATTAGAGACTCATATCTATTGACCATCCTTATTAATTTTGCATTCTTGCTTGTATATACTCATCTCTTAATTGGTTTTCGTTAAGAATTTATACTGCAAACTTATCTGTTCTTTCTCCTTGAAATGCATGACAGTAGTTATTCTTAATTTGCGAATAAGGGTTAACAAGATCAACCTCTTATGAGTTAAGGGAAACTCTCACATTTTCTGGATATTCAAAGTACAGATACTTTAGATATTTCCTTAATGAACTCTCCAATCTATCAGAACTACTTTCATTTGGAAAACATAATGGATTTAGAATGACATCATTGTTGAAGAAGCCAATTTCTTAAACTTTGGGTTCACTTTTGCTTAAATTTTAAGATATTAAATCCATTAAAATTATTGATGTTCCACAATCTCCCATTACATTCAATGCATACTGCTGAATCTAATCTGCACTATTAAATATTGGAGATGTGTACTCAGATATTTTAAATAGAAAATGCTCTGGCTAAGGTGTGATGTTCTTAATGATTTTCTTGTTTCTAAGTTCAAAGCAAACTAAGGGTGAGACTAGGTATTATGAACATGCTTCCTCCAAAAACTTAAAAGATAGCAAAGCTATAGACAAGAACTGAGTTGAACTTCCATAATCAATAACTGGTTTAGTCTTTGATATAATCAAAGCTTAATTGGCTAATCTGAGTGCAGAAAGTTTGAAATTTAGACCATGCTCTGAAAAGTTATAATCACTTTTGAATTGTAACAGATTTTACGAGCTAAATGATGATAATATCTCCATCAGGTGTTTTGGATGCATGCCATAGCCATTATCTTTGATTTCAATGTAATTTTCTTTCGTGAAACTCGGCCTTAGTTATGCCTACTAGTTTAATCCTTTTGAGTTTCTAAGATTTATTTCTATATGAAGATTCGGGAATAATTGATTGGAATGAGAATTTAATCTGTTGATCTAGTTATTCTACCCTCCGCCAATATGGCCGTAGGTAGAATGATTTTTTTACTCTTCATATTTTAATCTCTAAAGCTCATGAGCTTGAATAGAATTGTCAATAAATGCAGAAAAGCATTGTATAGGCCAGTCAATCTATTTCAATAAACTCTTGAAAAAGCTTAGCTTGGCTCTATTTTAAGATTTCACATGGAAATCATTGTTTTAAATGGCAATCGAAAGATTTCTCTTAACCTTTTTAGGATCCTCATTGTCATCATAACTATCTATTTCTCTTGTTTAAACTTACTGGTCTGCTCTTTGAAGATATTTTTAGTTTCCACTCTAATCTAATTGTAAACCTAAATTCATAGATCCACCAGCACTGGCATATACTTAATTTCCATTTAGGAAAAATTGATTCGTTTAGCTGCTATTAAAGTTAATTATTTAGTTCAAAATTTGGCCAGACATCTCTTTCCTGTCTTCAGGATCAGTTATTCTCAAAGTTCTTGTTACTTTGGTTTTGTTCTATCCATTGTTAGTTTAAACCTTTTCCAAAACATTTACTTCAGGTATTGTTATGGCAGTTTTAGATTCGACCTAAACTTCTAGTGCTTTGCCAATACTCCCTAGCTAACCATCAAGAGAAAGAACAAACAAATCGTTTGAGATTGGAAGCCTATCCTAGTTAAGACCTCCAAAGACTATAACATATTAATTATATTGCACAGCTGAGTGCGCCATTCTAGGTTCAAATTCTTTTTTTATTTTTTTACCAGCAAGGGGACCTTATATCTTAAATGATGCTTTGATTTCATGCCACTTTTGAAGAACTGTATCATAGATCCAGATGTCATTGAGAAATTTGTTGTTGAATTAGTCAATCATCACTTAATTATCCTCAGGAGGGTTGAAATTTTTAATGCTTTGATCAACGATTTCCTAAAACAAAATAAAAATGCAAATAACTCACTTATTCAGAACTGACACTTTCCTAATCAAGATCAATAGATATTTCTCTTTATCTCGATTTCCCAGAAAAATTTCTCTTCTGAGCACTCATTTCATTGGAACCTGTATTAATCTAGTGAGTTTCGCCTCCTATTATTACCAAATAGCGATTTTTGTAAACTGTGCAAGTGTGACTAGTTCTAGCCATTGGCTTATGGAGTGGAGGAAATTTCTCGATTGGAGTCTGATTTTCAAGTCTCTCCCACTGAGCAATAAATTAAATTTCACCTTCATCTAAGATCTCCTCGATGATTTCAACGCTATATAGATCATCAAATATGACATCATTGTCTCCTTGCCCTCCAAATATGTATATCTTGTTGTTAATTTATGCACTTGAATGACTATCTCTCCCACAAGGTATGTCTCCTCTTTCGATACATTTATACCAGCGTAACATGTCGCATTTTTTCCCTTAATAAGATATGTTCAATTGCTTTTATGCTGAGCTTCCAGCATTAGTTGAGTTCGTGTCAAAACTTGCAGATGCATTCACTCCTTCAAAATTCATCTAGTATGGAAGGAACTATTTGATTTCATTCTAAGTGATAAGGCTTTGCTAATTACTGTCAATAAATTTTTGGACCCCTGTAAGAATATAAGTATCGTTAAAAGATGTCTCATTTTAGTTGACACCTCCGTGTATCATCATACGATCTCTACCCACTAGTTTTGCAGTATGTCCTTCTCTCGGGGCTGGTATATCTCCTATAGGTTCTAGTTTACTCCACTTTTAGGTTCTAATGTCAAACTTATTAAGATCATTAAAACTTGTTTAACCTCCACTTCCTCCAAACATGATAAGTGAGTCTCCTATCTAACAATAATAAATAATGGACGAAACATAAATATACCTGAACGCAGGTGTGAGAGTCTCTTGCCCTAGGGGCATCAGACTTAATTTTATCCCACATAAATAGCAGGCCATCATCTTGCTGAAATTTTATTTGGCATTCGTAAAATGTTTGAAAATTTCCTCCTTTTTGTGCAGAGGCTAAACCCCCAAATACATACATTTTGTTCTTTACCATACAAGCACTATGACCATATCTTTTTTGGGGGGGAGGATTTATGACTTTATTTAAATTTGAAGATTAGGCTACAATGTTGACTATGCTTGATGGTGGTCTACTAAATTAAGAAATAAGTAATTTACTTTGATAACGTTAAAGAGGAGCTATTTCCTGCTGCAGTGTTGGTTTATTATCCAAAAGCAGTGCCTTAGTAAGTTTCTTTATTCCCGAGTCCACCTGATTTTCCGCCTAATTTTTGGACGACTGGTGTGGTGAGCACAACCCATTTAGCATCTCTGAACTCTTTTGAAATATCAGATGCAAGTGATGAGTAATCGTAATTCTTCATTTCAAAGCTCTCTGGGGGCACCGTTATACCGGAAATCGACATCTTTTCCTCTTCTTTCGCTTCAATATTTAGCACTTCCTTTTCAAATCTTCTCATTTCTTCCTTAACTTTTTGAGTATTTTCTGGTTACTTAACGTAGGACTGAGTAAACCTCAAGAATTGTTGAGGTCCAATTAATTTCTTGATATTGTCAAGTAGTTGGTTAAAATAGGGAAAACTCAAAGATTTTTAATCTTTGCTTATTTGATTAACCTTGCTCAGAACAGTATCTTCGGACTTGGCCTTTGACTAGTGCTCAAAATATTCCCTCAATTTCTAATCATATTATAGAAGCATTTCGTTTATCTATTTAATAATTTTGAAATACCTAACTTACTTGAGGGTATTAATCAGGACATGATTGTTATAATTGCTCTCTTAAAGTTGAACTAATCTCCATTTGCGGGGGGTACTAAAAAATCTTTGTTTTCGGTAAATATTATTATAAAGATGATTTTGGATTCAAATAAAATACTATTTATTACTTGTCACTTTATTTGTATTGATCGATTCTCGTGGGGTTTTGGGGTTTTGGGGTTTTGGGG